TCTCCTGTTTTCGGGTATTAGACCAGTGCAAAGTGCACAGACACCAAACCACATCTCAGCCACGCCATGAGACCACCATGTTTCACTCCAGATCATAGAAATTGTAGCCGTCTTTTAAAAGCATTAAGTTTGTTGTTGGTTCCATTAATCAACTAGCTGTTGAAACATAGTCAACAAATGCACTCCAACGAAAGGCAACCAGACCGAGATTCGCGACATCTAATCACTCAGCTCGGTTCACATAATTGCACAATCAACCCATCACACACAGATTTCATTACTCAACTCAACGATGGTAGATCGCTCAGGCATTTAAAGGGGACCACATCTGAACAAACACTTGACTTAAGAGTTGATCTTAACATACATTCAAAGCTGTACGTGGAACAGTAATACATCAGCACTGTTGCTGTTCTTCTTTTGAGGCCTTCGACGCGCCGAACAAGCGCAATCAGCAGTGTACGACTAGGATCTGCGACTACATGCCAGGTAACTACATCACAAAAACCACCTGATTTCACCACAATGGAGACCTTTTAAATAGGATTTTTTTTGCTTGAGTGATTGTGTTTGAGTTTGCTCCGTTGTACCTTAATATGTAGTTACGTTAAAACAAAAGAAATGATTTTGGTCAATTTGCGATATGCGGAATTATGAATTTAAAACCCCACCATGAATATAAGATCTGAGTGCGATAAATTGGCCCCCAATTACGGTACCGTAATGCCAGCGGTATGAAATGCCGTTAAAACTGGCTAATCAATTTCAGATAATTCAGGTCTTGTACAATAGCACTTTTGCCGGATTGTGACAAGGACTGATCAAAGCGGAATAGTCAATGAGAACACGTCCATTCGTCAACTGTAAATCGACCAGATTTATCAGGTTGTAAAGCTTACAGCGACATTACCTTACGCTCCAGTTTGCTCCAATAGCACAGATGTCAGACCCGCCGAATTCCACTGAACCTACTGATCCACAACCTCCGTTTGCATCAACGTCCTCGCCTGTGACACGTCCTGTCACCGCCATCCCTCTCAAAAGGACCTTTCGGCCAATTTTGCCCAAGCCCACTACTTTCACCTACAGCGCTGAAGGCAACTTCCCCCCTACTTCACCGGACGAGGTAATTGAACCACACCTCATATCAGATCCTGGCCTTAGTGACTCAGTTGCCAGCACGGACCCAAGCGTCGTGACAACGTCCGTCGCTTCAACTTCTGACGGTACCTTTTACGAATGGCGCCATGTGGATTTAATTTTGGCTGAAAAAGCCAGAGTTGTGTATGACACCTTGGGCAGAAAACGACTCCTGTGTCCGATGCCAGGTTGTAGGGCAACCGAGGCCTACCTTAGCGGTATGAGGGTACACATTCGCCGACACATCGGTGATCGTCCATTTGCATGTTCCAGGTGTTCCGCTACGTTTGTTCGGATGAGCGACCTACAGCGTCACGTAAGGTCCCACGTACTCAATGGGCCTCAGGTGTCAGCAAAAGGAAAGAATAATGTGTGAAGTCCGTTTGCTCCAGTTAACCCACTTGCAACACACACTGCCACTAACGTTCCAGTGAAAATAACCCTAACGGCAATGCTTCCTGAATCTTCGACATATATCATCAGAGCTAAATCGGTCTTTCGGTGGCCAATCCTCAATCCCGAACTTACGTTGACAACCTGTGCTGTTGAATTTCTGCCAAAATGATAAAATGGCGACTCAGCCTTCAGGCGAGTCCCCCTCTGGTTCATTGAATGTAGCTTTTCCCATTGATCTTTTCTAATTATTTCCTTCTTACTGCAATCTGACGCTAACTCTGCTCATAAACTCATTCAACTCTCTCTTGGAACATCATCTTGGGTTTGTGCGTGTGTGTATGCGAACTCACATTACTTATTACTTATATGTCTACAAGCAAACCACGGGCTGTGCATTAACTGTTACCCCATTGTAGCGGATTAGCTGCGATCGCGCCAAGGTGAACCCTGTGTGCTGGCCTGAATGTGTTGATGACTGATCCCCTTTTCATTGGGTACTATTACCAGACGCCTGGCATCCGCTCATTTATTCACACACTAAGACAAACACTTGGTGGGCGTGACGCTTATAAGTAATGGCGGCCTCTGTAGCCTCTTCGCTCTCTTCTTAATTTGTTACGGGCTCTTAGCTAAAGGGTTGCAAAGTGGTCATAACCGAGCCACTACACCGTCAACCAAGCGTCATTTCTGTAAGCTAACTGGCCTGCTTTGGAGTGAGTCAGCCACGCCTAACTCCAGTGTATGTTTCGAATGCTAAATACAAGTACGTTGTGTCATATTCGAGACTTCGTATTATCGTGCGCTATGTCAAGGTTCAGGCAAGCAAAAAACAGGGCTTATTTGAAGTTCATGTAGACAATTGAGGAGGAGCTTGGAAAGTCACGATATTGCGGTCGCAGTCCTTTGTTCGTCGCCAAATGCGACTGTTTAAACGTGACGTGCGAGATGGAGGCCTGACTGGTGCTTTGCTGCTGTTGGGGTAAAAACAACATTTAGCGAATCAGTTTGCGCCACGTTTAGCAACAATGTCTTCTTCAATGTCAACCTTATAATTTAGCAGGATAAATCTGTGGCATCGAAGCACGATTAAGGAAGATATTCCTTGTGGTGTATGGACCTTAGCATCATTTCCAGGGTATTTAGATAGTTACAATGTAAACTGCTGAGAGAAAGTGCGTAACTGCACAGCTAGTCAATTAACAAGGATGTGTCGATATGGAAAAAGCTGATACAATCTTGGCGTCTCGATGTTGCTATCGGACAAGATGGTGATTACTGCGTCAGCGTCACTCAAGACGGGAGATCATGTGTACAATAATGTCACCTTCAAATGAGTACGTATTAGCGAGATTATTGAATGAGCATTGGTGAGGAATGAATGGCAGTTTTGTGGCTGACGTTTGTCTGAAAGGATTCATCTCAACCTGTTTTGGTGTGTAGCCTTTTAATTTGCCTTTCAGTGGTCTCTGTTCACCTAACCTTGTAGATTATTCATCACTTTTCTTTAAATTCCGATCCGGTGGACGTGTATCAGCACTTCTCCTGCAAGCCTACTTATAATGCACAGGTCGCGTTCTTAGCAATTTCCAAGCACGACATAAGGTTGACTGCAAGCACACAAGATAAGTGCAGTTCCTTCTAACGCAGAAAACGCATGACTAAAGTCATGGGCAGATTGCATGCAAGTAGCACTTGACAATTCTAGAAACTGCGGTTCTTTGTTCAACTTTTGGCCAGATTTGACGCATTCCTCTTGTGTTTTCACAAATCTGAAGCCACCAGTTCTGTTAAAGTGTGTTTCGTAGCTTCAAAATTACATTTTGACGTCAAGCTATTAGACATGTTTAAAAAAATGTCAGATCCAAAATATTCCGTGTAAACTCTTTCAGTATAACTGCCATACTAGATAAATTGATGAATTTATTTTACCAAAAATAATCCGAAGACTACTCCATAACACGTGTTCTACCACTACTATTTATCAGCTCGTTTTGATACAAGTGGCCGGACAATATCTTTCTAGATACTGGCTCTTTGGTTTGAAAATGCATATCAGCTTCTTGAGTTGGCATCATGTCCCTAAAAGCGAAGGGTTTAAAAACAAATTTCGCTATTACTTTAGTGAGATTTGCAAAATGGTATTTAAAAGACTACAGCCGAAATTAGAAATAATCTGCGTAAATTGCATTGACAATTACAGAAAGTGACCAACCAGAAGGAATAAGCAAAATTATGCAAATTGCGTCCTAAATCTGAGAAATATTATAGGCTTTTGTCTTGATTCTGGAGCATTTTGCAGATTCAAAACTTTTCAGAATAAACAAAAGTGAGAAAAGAGTTATCTTGCCTAAATAAGCAAAACTTGGAAGCATCCAAAGGCCAGTGTCGGATGCAAGTAATTTGTGCCTGAATTTGTGGAATACGAGCTGTTTCTGCAAAGAAATTTGCATGATCTGTGAATCATAATCTGATGATTACTGTTTGTACATCCGCCTTGCTTTGTGTCAGCAGCACGACTTTAAATCATTGTTATCTAAAGGAAAATGTACACAGGAGATCAACGGCTTTAATTCTGTCAACAATATAAAAGAACGATGTTTTTCTGAGCGAATGGGCACACATGGGGCATATCATTTCGTCGGTATGATCAAAGACGGCCTGGTGATTGCTCAAAATGTTTTCTTAACGATGTGAGCATTGCTATGCCTGTATTGTGAGCCGTAGTGACGCATTAAGCGTTGTGTACTCAGCTAGTGCCTCCTTGCCTTAGTTGCATTTTCTGCCACTTCAGCAGATTCTACCACACGAACCAGACTTCCACGTGCGCTTTTCAAAGAGCACCAATCTTAAGTCGGGCGGATTAGTCAGAAGCTGAAGGGAGTCACGTTTTTACAGAAACCATTTTTTCTAGCTTTTACTATGCGAAATTAACGGAGTAATTTTCACTACTTGATAAATTCCACATTTCTACGACTTGGTGAAAGGCAAGTGCTGTGGTTTAACCAACACGCAAATCATTTGAGCAGCACATTCCTTGTCCAAGATAAAGATTTAAATTCATGAAAATAAGTCTAACTATCCAAACAAAAATTTGAATTACATGTCTGCATGGATATCGAACCAATACCTTAGGTTTATTGTCTTGCTGTTGCACACATGGTGTGTTTTTTCTCAAACACTAACATGACATGACCTTCTTATGAAACCATAGATAGCTTGATACAATGTTGCACACGGCTTTAAGCACACTTATGCTTGTTCTTATTGTCAAAAAGACGTTAAAAGTAATATAAGTGGTTTTTTTTAAAAAAAAAATGGCATGTCTTCGGGAACAGTATACTGTTAGGCCAACATCAGTACATATATTAATGCCAAAACAGCAAAAGGCAAAAACATTCACTGTGTCATGGCTTAAAAAGCAAACCTTTAATGAAGGAAACCAAACTGGTATGTGTTGGTAAGTCCATGAGGTGGAACGTTGAGATTAGTGCCCGTGTGCTTGAAATAATTTATCGTATGCAGCTGAGCAGACCTCTGGACACTCAAAGTAGACCGAACTCACTGATTGGGCTACTGTTTGTTAGATGACTCAAATGTGGTTATTGAGGTCGTCTGAGGTAATTTGGACGAAACGTCTACGGAGAGAAGTCTTTACTGTTGAAGCGTTGAAAAGGTGGCACGTATGGATGGTTGTGTTCAAGATAAGAATCAATGTCCTAACCACGGTGACGAATCTGCTAATTGTAGTGGACTGACAGCCGCCCCGCGCGAGTGTGCGTGCATGAAGGCCCGTGTGCAGCGATGACTCATCCCCTTTTGC